CAAAGTGAAGCATGGACTTCCTTCACTCAGTCATTTATTTACTTTATAACAGTAAATAAATATCGGTTCTGCATATCGGTTATTGGGCACACAAACATGCAAATAATTGGTATCGGTATCGGTTATAAAAGATCAATATCGGTCGATCACTAATATTATTTAATTATATTTCTAATGTATATTAATACAAAACATTTGTGTGATTTAACAGTGATTAATCAAGTGGTAAAGTATAGTGATATCCATTAGGTAAAATTTTTTTTTTTACCAAATTTTTGTATTGCCTTAAATTCTAGTTTAGTTTTAAAGAGCTAGTTCAGTCAAAAATGAAAATTCTGTCATCGTTTACTCACCATCCACCAGTTCCACAAGTTTCTTTCTTCTGTTGAACACAAAAGAAGATATTTTAAAGAATGCTGGTAACCAAACATAATTTGACGATAGCCATTAACTTCCATAATAATTTTCCATACTATGGAAGTCAATGGCTACTGTCAGCTGTTTGGTTGCCAACATTCTTCAAAACGTTATTTTTGGGGCATAAGAAAGAACCTCATTCAGGTTTGGAACAACTTGAGGGTGTGAGTAAATAATGACAGACTTTTCATTTTTGAGTGAACTGTCCCTTTAAGTTTTTGGACCATCAGAAATGTAAAGATGATCACTTCACGTGTCAATCAGTGGATGGTTCTTGGCCAGAATGAGCTGCGGTGTTGAACTAGCTGTGCAATATTGACATCAAGCGTATTTGCATTGCATGACTGTGCCGTAAAGGTGGCGGTGAAGTAATTGGACACAATTTTTAAAGGCTCAGATTATCAAATTAGCGTATAAACATTGTAACAATCTGTCTTCAGATTGTTTTTTTTTTTTTGTGAATTCTGAGATCAAGTTGAAGGCAGAAAACCCAACATGGCCGTTTCTCCTGTTTGTCAACAGCAACCTAAGCGCCTCCAAACCGGCGATCCGACAAGCCATGCGCAACTGCAAAGGCCTCATCGACTCGCTCATGCGCTACACGGAGAACTGCGTAAATGCCGGGACGCCTGACAACCAGGTAAACGCTTGGTGATTATATGTGCTACTGAACACAACAGATCATGAAAAATCAGGAAATGATGAGCAAAAATCTATCTGTTGCTTTGCTTAAACTTAAGCATTATGGTCTGAATTTCTCTATTACGAGTCAGTCTGAATCAAAAGATCTTTTAAAGCGTGTAACTTAATTAAAATAGGAAGTGTCCAAAAGTGTGGGAACCTTGTGTCAGTATTTTCTCTGTAGTAAAAGAGTTTTAAGATGGCATGAGATGTCAAGGGTTTTTTCTAAGCAAGCATCTTTATAGTCTGCGTGGAGAATGTTGGTGTGGCATTGATGATTTAATGGTGTTTTAATAAGTTATTATGTAGTGATGCCCGAAGCGTTAAAACTCCCTGAAGGAAAGTGTGTATGAACACAAGGCGTTTCCAGGGGCTAAACTCATGCAGTCAAACTCTATTGTTGTGGTTAGAAAAAATGCTGCATTACTTACATTTAATTGACGGACAGATTTGATCAGAACCTCACGAGCATGTTTCAACATCTGCTTTCTGTTTCACTGGATATGCAAATAATCAGTGCATGTCAGTTTTCCTAAACAAAGTCACAGAAGAGGAGCCAGATGTCCAATATCAAGTCACAAAGTTAGTCCGGTGCGTAGATCCAAAAATAACATGAAGCCAGCAGAAAAAACAATCCGCACACGGTCAAATGCAGGGCAAAACCTCCTCAAAAAATCTTTATTATAATGCTTAATCAGAGGTCATAAAAAAGTGCAAAGTGCAAAAGTTTTCCAAGTTGCAGTTTTCCTAAACACACATTGTTACACGGCCACTTTGAACAAACTTGCACATACTATATAATTATAATTATAAAAAATAAAAACTTTTTTTTTTGCATATGTATATATAAATTAAACTGCTAGAGACTTTCAATTTTTAAATCACAATTTATATTTTAATGTAAATATTTAAAATGTTTATATTATATAACCACCATCTCAATAAAAATGAAATTGATAATTTTGCTTTAATGTGTTTATTTTTATTGCTGTTGCCAGTTTTAAATATTTGAATCGCTTTTTAGCTTTTTGCTGTTTACTTAAATAGCCCTGTGGTGTGACAAATGGAATTTTAAAAACAAATATTGCTTGTAATCCCCCAATTAATGCATGATAACTATACAATAGCAAGAGAAATGTTGATTAAAATACTTATAGACAAGTAAAACACACCACTGGACACTACTGCTGCTGCTTATTTTAATGTCTACGTTTTTATCACAGTATTGGTTATTGTGCTCTTGTTTTCCAGTCTTTGGAGAACTGCGTCTGCATTCTGCACAACCTCACCTACCAGCTGGAGACCGAGATGCCGTCTCTCTTCACTAAAATAAACATGCTGGCCAGTTATGCTCGCAATCGCTCCAGCTCATCAGACGCCGGTCCGATCGGCTGCTTCAGCTCCCAGAGCCAAAAACTGCAGCAGGAGGTTTGTGGTTTTACGCCTCATTAAAGCTTGCATTTCACAGTGTGATTGCCATCTTAATATTTCAGTGGAACTGTAAGGTTCTTCAAATAATACGGAGATATTTGAGACATTTGCCAAAAGCATTGCATTACTGTGGATGCTAGTTTTTATTGAGTTGTGCTTCATGTTGTCGTGTTTGGTTGTGTTGCAGCAGAGCGGTTTTGACTATCCAGTTATGGAGGACAACAATCCTAAAGGTGCCGGCTGGCTCTTCCACTCCAAAGCCCTGCAGATGTACCTCAATCTGTTGAGCTCCAGTGAAAGAGACGCCACACTTGAGGCCAGCTGTGGAGCGCTGCAGAACCTCACAGCCACTGATGGCTTAGTAAGACATCAATTAGTTTGTTTTAGCATGCACCTGTTCATAGGTTGGATGCAGAGAAAATCAAGGATTCTGCTATATTTTATATATGTTTTAAATAATAATGCTTTATATTATAAACATTGTTTATTTTATTTATAACATGCACCTGTTCATGGGTTGGACATGAACCTGAAATCAAGGACTTCAATAATCAAGAATTTCAATAATAATGTTTTATATATTAAGAATTATTTTATTTTATTTAATTTTTTTAATAGAATGCACCTGTTCATGGTTTGTATTTGAAAAATCAAGTAAATTTCAAATAATAATGGTTTACATATTAAGCTTCATTTATTTTTTTTAGTTTTGCATGCATGCATCTGTCATGGGATGTACTCAAAGAAAAGCACGGATTTATTTCATTATGATAATTATTTTGATTAAATAATGTTTTATATTAAGCATTGTTTATTTTATTTTATTTATAACATGCACCTGTTCATGGGTTGGACATAAACCTAAAATCAAGGATTTTATTTTATTGTATTGTGGTATATATTTCAATAATAATGTTATTTATAACATTATATATTAAGAATTATTTTATTTTATGTTTTTTTTATTTAATTTTTTTATAGAATGCACCTGTTCATGGTTGTATTTGAAAAATCAAGTACATTTCAAATAATAATGGTTTACGTATTAAGCTTCATTTTTTTTTTTTGCATGCATGCATCTGTCATTGGTTGGACTCAAAGAAAAGCACGGATTTTATTTCATTATGATAATTATTTTGATTAAATAATGTTTTATATTAAGCATTGTTTATTTTGTTATTTTATTTATTTATGTTGCATGTACCTGTTTATGGGTTGAGCTCAAAGAAAAACCAAGTATATTATTTTATTGTATTGTAGTATATATACTTAATTATGTTTTGCATATTTATAATATTTAAAAAAAATGTATGAATTTTTATTTTATTTTAGAGTGCACCTGTTCATGTAATCTATAAAAGTATAGTGTGCATCTTTTAATGGATTGGATTCAATCGTTTTATTTAATTGCATGCACCTGTTTATGGGTTGAGCTCAAAGAAAAACCAAGTATATTATTTTATTGTATTGTAGTATATATACACTTAATTATGTTTTGCATATTTATAATATTTTAAAAAATGTATGAATTTTTATTTTATTTTAGAGTGCACCTGTTCATGTAATCTATAAAAGTATAGTGTGCATCTTTTAATGGATTGGATTCAATCGTTTTATTTAATTTCATTATGATAATTATTATGATAAAATAGTATTTTATATATTAACCATAGTTTAATTTCATTTCATTTTTGGGGAAAATTCCAGATAAATCTACGTGCCCCCATCTTATTTTGCAGGTATCGAATGTGTTGAGTCATACAATCGTCCAGAAGCTCAACGGTCTTAAATACATCAGTCCGTTGTTGCAGTCGCCCAATCCCGCTCTACAGAACAGCGCAGTCGCTCTGCTCGGGAACCTGTCCAGATCCACACAAACAAACAAAACCATGGGTAAGCGAATGTGTGCCATCACTCGAGGATAAGACCGCTTAACACTGACGTGTTATTGTTTGAAGGAGCTGCATCACGGTTGACGGTCTGTGAGGCTCTATGTTTTGACTGCTTGTTTTTGTATCACTTCCGATTGCTTTGGATTAATGTTGCCGTTTTTGTCTCTATGCGTGATTATTGCCCGTTGTTGTCATTGTTGTGTTCTGTAGTTGTGTCTGGTTCAGCACTGTTTTTGACCCAGTGTTGTGGTGTATTTGATGTAGCGTGTGTTTGGCGGTCGTTCTGATGAATGTTTTTGTTCTTGAAGCTCGGCAGACTCTCCCGCATCTGGTCGGCTTCCTGAACTCAGGGCTCACGAAGGGCGACTCCTCGCCCGAATACGACAGCACCATGGCCACAGCTCTTCACAACGCACACGCCCTGATGAAGGCCGACCCTGAGATCAGCAAGAGTCTGCTGAACAACAGCCTGATCAACTCCCTCAACAACATGAGTCTCAATCTGTGAGTGCGCACTTCCTGCTGTTCATTCAGCTTGGTGAACAGGGTTATTCTTGATATATGAATCAGAATACTTGAATTAAGAAGGCAAAAGAAAATAGAAGATGTAATTCCCCTTTTTGTTGCAATTTTTACTATGCACATTGTTCAAAAAAGAAAACAGAAAAATAAAGAATAAAAAAAAAAAATGAATTTTTAAGAATTTATAATAACATTATTAATATAATAACAAAAATATTTTATTTTTATTCTCTTGTATATGCAGTTTTTCAGTGCCAAATGTTTGTCATTTCTTGTAATATATCAGGGGTCTGCCGAAGTCCAGCACTGCCGCAGGAGTTCTTCTTCACAGTCTGTGGTCAGAAAAGAATATTCAAAGTTTCCTTAAAAAGGTAAGAATGCAAACATAAACAATATTTGCTAGAAATGTTTGCTAATACAAATAAAAATTCTTGAAAATCAGTGGTTCTTTGCAGCAGAGAATCCAAATCAAGAACAAGTTCTCTCTCTGTATGTTTCGTGAGCTGCTCTGTGGTTTTTTGGAAATGTAAAAGGTTCTTGATGCTTCATTATAGGTTCTTCTGATCAGTGTTTCGGTTGATTGATTTATTTATATAGTGCTTTATACAATACAGATTGTTTTAAAGCAGCTTCACATTAATAAAAAGCAAAACAACATTGTAAATATTGTAAAATTCCTCAATTATGAAATCAATTATGAAACCAAAACTTGTTGCTGTAAGCAGAAAATAATAGTGTTATATTCAGCTCAGTTTAGTTCAGTTCAGTTCAGTTCAATAAAAGTGTCGATGCTGCAAAGTGCATTATTTCTGAAGAGACTGCAAGTCAGATGTAGGCAGAAAATAGTTCCATTTATTAATTTTAAATAATTTTATAATTATTGAGTAATATTTTATCAATTTCAATTACTAATTTTATTTAATTCTTTCCAAATGTTTATCATTTCAGCTTTAATCAGCTCTACAGAAGATAATAGTGTAATAGTTCAGTTTAATAATAGTGTTAATGTTGCTTATCCACTTCAATACGGTTCAAATTTTGTTCTGCCTAAATAGAAATAAAATGAAAAATAGTGTATAATTATAATTTAGTTTATAATTGTTATGAGCCATATTTTTTTATCTATTTTCATTCAAATTTTAAAATTCATTTCAGCTTTAAAAAGACAGCATGTGACATTATTCAGCTCCAGTCATTTAATGTTGATTCAATTCAGTTTAATAACTGTTGCAAAGTTAGTCAGTGCATTTAAAACTATAAGTAAATAAATCTTACTGAATATTAATTGTCTTTTAAACTCCAGCTGAGCAAGGCAAAGGCAAAAGTAGCAAAAAGAAAAACAACGTTTTGATACCTTTATTTTAAGTGTGGATATATAAAAACAACAGTTTTTCCTCCAAAACAGCGTCAGTGTAAATGTCTGAGTATCAGATGTCTCATTCCTGAGGCTGCTTGTGGGAAATGATTGTGTGTGTGTGTGTGTGTGTCGGGCGGTTGAGGATTTTGGGTGTGGTGCGGAAAGCTAGCTGTGAGGGGTGTGTGTGAGTGGTTACGGGTGAAAACCAGCCACACCTCACCACACCGACCCTGCAGTCGTGTCTCGATAACCTGAAGAATCCAGCCTCACTGGTTTCACATGAAAAGAGTCATTAATTTCAAATTACAAGTCATTTATTAGTCACTTTAAAACCAACTTCAGTGTCTCATATTTCAATCAGATGGCTGTTTTTATTCTTTGCAGTGCTTCAAAAAACATTACACTAGGACCAGAATGTAGATGATTATATTAAAGCATATTATTTATGATTAAAATATCAGTGTGGTAGAAGTTGCTGGTGTCTCCGTGAAGCTGCTTTATTTTCGTAGTCCTCTCTTACTCCTCGAGCCTTTGGTACTAAAAGGAAAAAAAAAATATATATATATTTTTTTTATAAAAGTTAATTATGTAAATGATCAATGTAGCATTATATGGTTGCTTTTTTGTTTTTGTTTTATCAGAACAGACCTGTGACATTTTTGGGTCATGAAGAATACAACAGTTTGTTGCTGGATTTAAAAAGGTTCTTCAATGGCTTTAGCCTCAGTCTTTTTAGATCTGTTAATATTGTTTATTTTTAAGAATATAGCATGACCTAAACTATACACCAGTACAGTAGGTGTTAACAAAATCCATCTTCCTGTATTTAGCGGCCTCAGATCAGACTTATTTTGTACAGGTGGATTTTCCGCATGTGTTGTCTTAATCTCTGGCAGTAGCGAGGTCAGACCGGATCAAATCTCCCATTCTTCTAGTGCTTAAAACGGGATCTTCCAGGAGCCCCGGGTCTGTCTGACCCCCTATAACTTCCTCTTTAACCCCTGAACAGCTGCCGGATCTGTCTTCATTCTCTGTGTGCCCTTCATAACAGAGCCATTAAATGCGCTGGAGAGCCTGTGAATGCGGATCCCCTCAGGGAAACGCTTCGATAAATCATCTTGGAACAGAATCTGCAGTATCATAACTATAGTTATCTACAAAAATCTTTTGTTAGGCACCACTTATTCCCACAGATGAGCCCGATGGAACATCCCAGTTGTATTTCGGCTCAGTTCAGTCGGTCGCATTAGCCTTAACAGCTCGGCAAGTCCGAACAGATTTGGCACGAGTCAGGCAGGAGATATATCACTTATCCGACACACACTGGGTTTGACTACAGGGATTTGTTAAGTCTGTTGAATGACGGGATCGAGCGCTGGGTTTGGAATAGCAGTTGTTTGTTATTTTATGGTTGTTGTGGTCTATTATTAAACTACCTGACTTCCACATGGCTTAGTGTCGAGCAGATGGCCACATGCTTAAAAAAGTGCGATGTTTATTAGATATATTTTGCAACTAAATTAGTCCCATATACATTGTAAAAAGTAAAAATGTGCATTAAATTAAATCATTTCTGTTGCATTAACTTAAATGTGTCAGATTTATTTCGATTTTTTTTACTTCTGTTAAATCAGTCTACTTTGATTAATTCCTTATTATTTTCATGCATATTAAATTATTTTGTTGCATTTACTTAATATCGTCAGATTGATTCAGTATATATATTAGTTCTGTCAAACGATTAATCGCGATTAATCACATCCAAAATAAACGTTTTTGTTTGCATAATATATGTGTGTGTACTGTGTATATTTATTATGTATATATAAATACACAAATATACAGTATATATTTTGAAAATATTTACATGTATTTACATGTCTATATATTCATATAGTTTATATTATAAATAAATTATTTAATATATAAAAAATAACATATTTTTCTGAAATATATACATGCATGTGTGTGTATTTATGTATACATACTAAATATACACAGTACACACACATATATAATGTAAACAAAACTTTTATTTTGGATGCGATTAATCATGATTAATCGTTTGACAGATCAGACTTATTTTGTACAGGTGGATTTTCCGCATGTGTTGTCTTAATCTCTGGCAGTAGCGAGGTCAGACCGGATCAAATCTCCCATTCTTCTAGTGCTTAAAACGGGATCTTCCAGGAGCCCCGGGTCTGTCTGACCCCCTATAACTTCCTCTTTAACCCCTGAACAGCTGCCGGATCTGTCTTCATTCTCTGTGTGCCCTTCATAACAGAGCCATTAAATGCGCTGGAGAGCCTGTGAATGCGGATCCCCTCAGGGAAACGCTTCGATAAATCATCTTGGAACAGAATCTGCAGTATCATAACTATAGTTATCTACAAAAATCTTTTGTTAGGCACCACTTATTCCCACAGATGAGCCCGATGGAACATCCCAGCTGTATTTCGGCTCAGTTCAGTCGGTCGCATTAGCCTTAACAGCTCGGCAAGTCCGAACAGATTTGGCACGAGTCAGGCAGGAGATATATCACTTATCCGACACACACTGGGTTTGACTACAGGGATTTGTTAAGTCTGTTGAATGACGGGATCGAGCGCTGGGTTTGGAATAGCAGTTGTTTGTTATTTTATGGTTGTTGTGGTCTATTATTAAACTACCTGACTTCCACATGGCTTAGTGTCGAGCAGATGGCCACATGCTTAAAAAAGTGCGATGTTTATTAGATATATTTTGCAACTAAATTAGTCCCATATACATTGTAAAAAGTAAAAAAAAATGTGCAATTAAATCATTTCTGTTGCATTAACTTAAATGTGTCAGATTTATTTCGATTTTTTTTACTTCTGTTAAATCAGTCTACTTTGATTAATTCCTTATTATTTTCATGCATATTAAGTTATTTTGTTGCATTTACTTAATATCGTCAGATTGATTCAGTATATATATTAGTGCTGTCAAACGATTAATCGCGATTAATCACATCCAAAATAAACGTTTTTGTTTGCATAATATATGTGTGTGTACTGTGTATATTTATTATGTATATATAAATACACAAATATACAGTATATATTTTGAAAATATTTACATGTATTTACATGTCTATATATTCATATAGTTTATATTATAAATAAATTATTTAATATATAAAAAATAACATATTTTTCTGAAATATATACATGCATGTGTGTGTATTTATATATACATAATAAATATACACAGTACACATATAATGTAAGCAAAAACTTTTATTTTGGATACAATTAATCGCGATTAATCGTTCGACAGCACTAACATATAATATATAATATAATAACATATAATATATAACAATAATATAATAACTGTAATATATAACAGTATATATTGTTTTATATCAATATATGTTTGTTACCTCACCAAAAATGTTTGGTGAATATTTTTATATTTTGCAAAAAAATATTAAAATATTGTTGCATTAGCCGAATTGCGTCAGATTGGTTCAGTAATTTAAAGTTATATTTCTTACTTAAATTAAACAAGTTATTTTAGATTAGATTACATCTATATATTTTAGAATATATTTTTAAGTTACCTGACAAAATATTTTTACAGCGTATATTTTTATATATTGCATAAAATATAGGCCTATTATACAAAAACATTATAATACCATTATAATACTAGCATGATGGTATTTTTGAAGTTCATTATAGATTAAATAAATATTTTGACTCAAAGTACACCTGTTAACTTTTTATTATTTATGGGCTTTTATGCCTTCCTAATGGATGTGTCGGCGCACTAACCACGAGGCTATTGGCGCCAACTTCTTTTTCTGTTTTATTGCAATGTACATTGCATGCACAAAATCCTTCAGCTATCTGTTTATTTCCTTTTGAATAGTCTGAGGTTCACTATCCGGATAAAGGTTGTGCTAGAACAAAGCAGCAACTGTTATTCCACACAGAAAGTTCTGGAAACATGATGCTATGCTAGATTAGCCTAGTGGCATTACGCGTCTTAGTTTGGTTTTTACCAAGGTCTGTCACACACTGAGGTCAATACTGTATGTTATTTCAGGACTACTGCTCATCACTATTCATATCTGAGCAGAAGGTAACATGTTTTATTGTTCAACCGTTGCTTGATATTTGATATTTAACACCTGTAGGGGCTATGCAGGTTTTTGGCTGTTCACGCAGTTGAATTCAATTTGAGCTGCCCTTATAAATATCAGATTTTTTGCAACATGACTCCAGAGCAATTTTAATGTCAATCTAACTGGACATTCATGATGGCATGCTTGATTTACTGCTGGCGTGAATCAAAAAATAACTTATGAATTGTGAGGTATTGTACTACAAACTGTATGTTTGCAATATTAATCCACATATAAACTTTCGTGCAAAAGATTTTAAAAGAAATTAATACTATTATTCAACCAGGATGCATTAAATTGATCAAAAGTGACAATAAAAGCATTTGTAGTGTTACGAAAGATTTCTATTTTAAATAAATGCTGTTCTTTTGAACTTGCTATTCATCAAAGAATCCTGAAAAAATGTTCCACAAAATTATTAAGCAGCAGAACTGTGTTCAACATTAATAATCAGAAATGTTCCTTGAGCAGCAAATCAGCATATTAGAATGATTTCTGAAGGATCATGTGACACTGAAGACTGGAGTAATGATGCTGAAAATTCAGCTTTGTATCATGGGAATAAATTCTATTTTAAAATATATTCAAATATAAAACAGACATTTTAAATCGTAATAATATTTCACAATATTACTGTTTTTACCGTATTTTTAAACAACTAGATGTAGCCTTGGTGAGAACAGGAGATGTCTAATGTTCAAAAAACATTAGAATCCCCAACTTTTAAAAGCTAGTGTACATTTCTTCTAATTTCATATAATGACAAAAATATGATGATTAGTGTCTAAAATGTGGGCCAAATTCAATAGGTCATGTGAACAACCTCACAAAAATAAAGGAGAAAATCTCAATTCTGGCACTTTGGTTAGTTGTATGAATGTAGATTTTGATAATGCATCAATAAATCAGCTCCATTTCACAGCAACATACTTTTTCTGATGGTCGCTGACACGATTCCTAAGGACGGTGATCTATGAGACAGAAAATCACACGTATGAATCAGTCTCGGTGAATCATTGCCATACAACTTTGCTTCCTTCTCATGTCAATCAAACAGCATCTCTGGGAACCGGCCCGGATGATTGTTCTGCCAAGTCTGTGCTGGGTGTGACTGCTTGTGTGTGTAATTGATAGTTGTACCGTACTGTACATCTCATAAACTCATCCTCTCCTAATGTTATGACTCCTCTAACATCATGTCAGACTTTGTGGATGTGAAACCTCACCTCGTATTTCTGGCACATGTATCTGTATTGCAGCTCGAACTTCTCGGCTTCAAGTTGGCGCATCGACTTCCAGAGTTCGTTCGCGGTTTCTCTGCATAAAAGCACATGAGGAACATGACTAATCAGACCATGAATGTGAAGCAACAGCCCGTGGCTTCATGTCACGATGCATGTAATGCTACTTGACTATATTTCATGCTGGCAGAGGTATGTGCTGTCATGCTTTGAAAACTCCTTCACCTCAGTTTATCGGCACTCAGGTTTTCGACGTTCAGTTCCTTACGGCGTTCACTAAGAATCGTTTTTTTCTTCTCCCTCTCTGTTTGCTTCTTAGGCCCACCCCTCTTGTCTGTCTGTCAATCAAAACAAAACAGAAAATAAGCATATGTAGTGACGGTGCACCGTGACCTTTGACCTCTGAGCTCATTACCCTCTGCATGAATCCCGTGTACTGGAAGCTCGTGAGAACCTTCTTCTTCTTAGCGTCATCATCAGCCTTCCTCTTGGCCTCTTCCTCCTCTTTTCGTGCCTTTTCCTCCTGAAAGAAATGATAATTCATTAAAGGGGTCATGACATGAGAAATCAAATTTGCCTTGATCTTTTGGCATATAAGAGGTCTTTGTACCATTAAAACATCTTGCAAGTTTTACAGCTTAAAACGTCCTCCTCATTATAAACAAAGCATTTACCGTATTGTCCCGAATATAAGACGATGTTTTTTTCTTGGAAATACATCTGAAAAAACGCGGTCGTCTTATATTCAGGGTCTAGACTTTGACATGTCAATAATACACCCACAACACTAGGTGGCGCCAAATACGCATAAAACGAGTGTGCCATGAAATACATAATGTAATGCGTGTTGTAAAGATCGCGAGTAAAAACAAAAGAAAAAAAAAACCTTACAGCTGCATGAGTCGTGACGGTCACGTTAGCCTGATCGGACCAAACTCCCTTCGTGATGTTAAAACGTAAGACAGTACCCAGATTTGAAGACTACAGTAAGATTTAACTTCTACTCTTAATAAGATTTTGAAAAAACAAGATTTGGTTTTTAAAAAGCCTTTTTCCAAAAGGTACATCTGGAAAAAGGGGGGTCGTCTTATAATCAGGGTCATCTTATATTCGGGCCAATACGGTATTTAATCAAGCTCCGAAAATGGCTCGTTTGGATCTGAGGTGCATGATGACATCACAGGGGCACAAACATTTGCATAAACACTGCCTCCAGAGCAAGACATCGACGAATAGTCATCGTCTCATTAGTGTATAGTGCGTAATTTGGGATGCAGCTAATGATTTCATATTGCTTTGTCTGGAAATGACCATTTTATTTAGATTATGTTGTCGAAACACTCACATGCAATAGCAAGGGGGCGTTGATACGGTTTCCTATGCAATGACGTTAGCCAATCATAACAGTGGCTGATCACTGAGAAGCCTTAAAGGACACGCCCCTTAAAACAGGTAGTTTTAGACCAGTGATGGGCAAACTTGGCCCTTCCAGGCCACTTTCCTGCAGAGATTTGATCCAACCCTGATATGACTCACCTGCCTGTAGCCTTCTAGTAGTCTTGAAGACAATGATTAGCTGGTTCAGGTGTCTTTGATTAGGGTTGGAGCTAACCTCTGAAGGAAAGTGGCCTGGAAGGGCCAAGTTTGCCTACCCCTGTTTTAGACAGAGGGTCAGAATGAGGGTTGAAAACAATACTTTTTCCACATATTTATTTGTTGTTGTTTTTTTCAGTGCAAAAAACTTTATTATAAATAAACCTCAAGAAATATATATATATAAAAAAATTAAAAAATCCATGTCATGACCCCTTTAATAATAATTTATAAAAGAGGGCGCGGCCCTTGTAATTTGAATGTGCGAAAAATCCGGTGTCATTTGCTTCCAGTTATTTTAGCGTAAACAGACCATTATGCTGCTTGATATTGCAAAGTGGTATTAGTTATCATATTATATTAATTTATTATCGTAATCATAAACAGACTGCACGTTGTTAATCATCTAGTTATTTACCTGTAGCGGCCAATGATTCGGAAGCCGGAAGTCTCGCACATTCAAAGAAAATAGCTTATTTCCGCGTTGTAAAATAAAAGGTGAATAACATCGACGTGATGTCTAACGTTACTTGAACGAACTTACGGCTAGTCTGTTTTGCCGCTCTTTCTCGCGCTCTGTGCGGATCCGGTGCTGCTCCGCTCGTTCCCCCCTCCGGTTCTCCTGGTGGTCAACATAGACAACAGGTACATTTATCCCACTTTGAAGATGAACTAATCATATTTAGCACATCGGAAAGCTTCGAAACATACTCAGAGTTTCGTCTGAGGCACTTACAATGTCAGTTGGAAATATTTGTAATGCTTTTGAAAGAAGTCTCTTTTGCTCACAAAGGCTGCATTTATTTGATCAAAAATACAGTAAAAACAGTAATGTTGTGAACTGTTTTCACTCGAATATATTGTGAAATGTTACTTATTCCTGTGATTAAATCAATATGCTGATTAGCTGCTCAAGAAATATTTATTATTGTTATATTATCAATGCTGAAAACCGTTGTGCTGCTTCATATTTTTGTGGAAACCATGATACACTTTATTTTTCAGGATTTTTTTTGGTGAATAGAAAGTTCAAAAGAACAGCATTTATTTGAAAGAGGAATCTTTTGTAACATTATAAATGCCTTTACTGTCACTCTTGATCAGTTAAATACATCCTTGATGAATAAAAGTACTAATTTCTTAAAACATCATACTGATCCCAAAGTTTTCAATGGTGGTGTATCACAGTTTCCATGTGCATCACATCTTATCAAATACACTCACATCATTTGCAAACACAATCATTTTCAGAAAACTCACATGTAGCTTGATGTTGTTTTATATTTTGTTAAGCCACGCATTCATAATTAACATAATTACAATTTACACAATACACAAATTAAACACTGACTGTAGTATATTTTGCTTTGTTTTTTATTTTCAATTTTTTATGTTCTCTGTATAGATGTTCAAGGAGTCATGCTTTTATTTGAAGGTATTTATTTATGTAGTCAACAGTTTGGCTCTGTGAAACCAGTCTCAGTCCTGCTGGAAAGAGCAGAGTAAAGTAAGCATGAGTTTCCATGCTGGTTAGACCTGGTTTGTTGCTGGTAGAGCAGTATAGCCCTGCTGTTTACCAACAAAACCTAGCTAGTCAATAGCCTTTTTCAGCAGGGTGATTTCAACAAAAGGGTTCACTTGTTTGATCATAGTAGCGGTGGTGAGGGTTTATTTATTTATTCTGTAATATGTGACAATAGTTATGAAGAAATGCATTTAATTTTTATAAGATTTTTATAAAAAAAAGTCTTACAATCCGTTGGGTGATGTTGATCAGCTCCTCTTCTTCTTTCTTTCTGCTCTCAAAGTGAGCCTCAATGAGCGTCTGTAGCTCCGTCAGGTCTTTCTCCATACGTTTGCGGTGAATATCCTGAGGATACGGGTTTGAAGGTAATTATGTAATAATGTACAGTACGGTAGAAACTACTCGTAGCACATGTTTTATGACAGTGCAGGTCATATAACACTGTTTAGTTTAGTAACAGAGTGATTTATTGGCACGACAGTTATTAACGTATATCTGTATTGCGAAAGCATTTGCAGCATTGTTGCTGACAAGGACAACACCGCAAAGCAAAATTGCAGTAGTAAACAAATTAATACAATGTAAATAAATGAAGGAAGCGTATACTACAATAATGAAAAGAAATCTGATGCACCATAAAATAAAAAAATACTCACATCAAAATCAAATTTCTCTCCATCAGGAATTTTGGGAGGCACCAAAGCTGGCACAAAGGGTCTAATAATCAACAACAATGCATTAGTATTTTTTTTTTCATGCTAATGGTCTTACATTTGGAAATGCATTGTTATACATTATACTTTATATATAAGCTATTTATATTTTATTTTGCATAAATTTGAAAGTTTTACTTACTTGTGCTTTGGTTTTGTTTCTCCTGCATCATCCGGTTGGCAGGAGAGTAAAGAAAAAATTACAAATGGATGATTTTGTTGCTGATGATTTTACTGTTGTTTCTTTTAAAGGGGGTCAAAGGTGATCAGGGCTCAGTTTCTAGGGTGAAACCAGTTTTGAGTGAGTCTGATGTTATCACTTTACCTTCTTCCCCAGGTTCCTCGGCAGCATCTACATAAGAAAAGACAGCCATGTCAGCTATGACTGCAATGTGAAGATCCACAGCATTGACGCAAGACCCAAGAGATACAGAGAAGCCCTGAAGACACGTCTGTTAGCAGAAACTAAAAGGTATTTTGTCTAAACCGTTTTTAAAAAAAAATCTGGGTGGTCACCATTGTTTTCAGAGTATTTCAGGTTAAGAAATCTGGAAGTGCTTGAAACTTCTTAAATATGATGGATGTATTCCATTAAGCTGACAATAGCTGACATTGTTCTAAAGTTCATCCCAAATGTGTCACCCTTCAGTGACTTTGTGAAAGTATAATTATTGGGTGTTGTTGATGGGATTATAAGAACTTGCTGAATGATCCTGTATTTTATTACCTGCATGATGTGGATTGGGTGTTTGCCTCCCACTGGCCTCTACAAGCCCTAAAAAATAACACATAAACAGGAGGATTTACCTGAAAACACATTGATCAATTTGAAGTCTTGCCCTGTGTATCATTATACACGATTTGTGTAGGCTACATTACTTAATTATTAACCCTAAGTAATTATAATTCTGAAGTACTAATATACTAAAATAAAAATGGTGTAGGAGTTACATTGAAACAATTTGAACTAAGAAATTGGTTGTAAAATTCACAAATAATTACAAAGAAATGGCAAATAACACACTGAATAAAAGTAGAAAGATAGTGAACAGTGAACCTAACAAAATAACTTATTTAAAATGATAAATATTTTACTTTTATTAATATTATCATGCATTATCCATTTTATGAAAGCACACAAATGAAGCTAAGAGGGTTAATTTTCAGTCCTTAATCAAAAGTAATAGGCTAACTAAGAAATTATATGATGCATGAAAAAATTGCCTTGTTATGGCTTAAAAATTAAGCATTATTTTCATTCTTTTAAATTCATAAATTAAAGGTACATTAGATTTGTTTATCCAAATATAATTTACCCTTGTTTTATTTTGGGACATGCTCTTGACAAACTTTTTTGAGATTTGAGATTTACCCAACAACATCATCTGTTTTATTAGTCCATAATGGCAAACATTTTTCATCACAAAAAATAAAAAGGTATAATTATGACACTTTATCTCACAAATAGGACTTTCGCACAATTCTGTATTTATATAAACTTGCAATCTTTATTTTTTTTTTACTCCAATGCAGAAAAAGAAATTGTGAGATGTAAGCTCAGAATTCTGTGAAAAAAAGTAAGAATTGCGAGATGTAAATTCAGAGTTTTGAGAACATTTTTTTTTATTGTGATTTTATATATACAATTGCAAGAAAAAAATTGATTGTGAGATAGAAATGGCAGAAAAAAAGCTTGCATACAAATCTCATTCATTATTAGCTGTGGCTTTAGCAATAGCATTAGAACAAGCAACACTACCTTCCTCCCCCTGCTCCTCTACCTCCTCAAGCACCTCCTCATCCTGCAACTCCTCTGTGCAAAGCAGACGCAGACAGCCTGAGAACATAATCATGCATATACTTGCAAATGAGCAATGCATGCATGCAAAATACACAGACTCCCAAACACACGCTTAAAGGGTTAGTTCACCCAAAAAATGAAAATTAGGCTGCGTTTTACTCACCCTCGAGGCATCCTAGGTGTATATGACTTTCTTCTTTCAGACGAATCCAGTCGGAGTTATATTAAAAATTGTCCTGGCTATTCCAAGCTCTATCATTGCAGTCAGAGGGTGTTGCAGTGCTTTAGTCCTAAAGAAGTGAAATAAAAAGCGCCCATCCATAAAAAAAAGTGTCTCACACGGCTCCGGGGGGTGTACTAGGGATAGTTTTGCCACCAAACTAACTCAAAAATGCACACATACTTCGGTCTCATTTTAACTCTATGAATGCATATAAGGCGTTTGAAGGTAGATGAAGGAAATCAGGCCTCATTTAAACAATAAAGGCTTAGACTTGTGAGTGATGTCACGTAGTGCCATTACATAATGTCGTTTGGGAAACTGCTGGTCCTGATACTCCACCCTCGAACTAATCCAGCCACACATAAACACACCCGTCACCGCTTTCTCTGATATCAGCTTCTGCTGCCAAAGAACATGATCTCACAACACACACCCCAGCGCTCATCCGCTCTCACTCTCCTGTTCTTTAATGCATGTTGGGTAGGTTTACAAATCAAAGCAGCCAAATGTCCTCCCAGAACAACAAATACTGGCACTTTCACGAACACGGTTTAAAACAGGACCTTAAAAATAAAGTTTTTTTTTTTTTTCAACAAATGATCGGTGAAAGGAGGGGCCCTCATTTAAACAATAAAGGCTTAGACTCGTGAATGATGTCACACAGTGCTATTACATAATGTCGTTTGGGAAACTGCTGGTCCTGATACTCCACCCTCGAACTAATCCAGCCACACATAAACACACCGTCACCAGCTCCTCTGATATCGGTTTGGGCTGCCAAAGAACATGATCTCACGAGACACACCCCAGCGCTCATCCGCTCTCACTCTCCTGTTCTTTAATGGATTTAGGGTAGGTTCACAAGTCAAAACAGCCAAATGTCCTTGCAGAACAACAAATAGCTGGCACTTTCACACATACGGTTCAAAACAGGACCTTAAAAATGAAGTCATTTTTTTCTTTTTCAGCAAATGATCAGTGAAGGGAGGTGCTTAACAATCAGACAGATAATTTTTAAACTGAGGTTGCATTAAATATATAAATAAGCTTCATGAGTTTTATTTTTTCTTTATGTCAGAATGGGTACTCATTTTACATGAGCAATTATTGCAAGTGGATAACACGTTTGAAAATAACAGGGTTGGACATTTTTGTCAGTCATTGTAGTTTTGGACCAAATGTTACTTTAGTAATATACAGTTTAAATGCAGTATACATATAGTATACATTTTTAAAATATGTGCAAATTTTTTTCTTAATAAGAAAAAAATATTTTCATTATATATAGATAGATATTACTTTTACACATTTACATATTTTTATAACATTGAGATTATTTGTCTATTTATTATCTATTTTTTATTTTAGTGTCATTAATATACTTTTATGGTTTTTATTAATTTTGAATTAGATTTTATATTTTTTGTTTTCACTTCAATTTTAGGTTTAGTAATTTTCTTTTGTTTTTTTTTTGGTCATTTTATTATTATTTTTTGTACAGTTTTTTTTTATTAGTTTTCTATTTGATAGTTTTAGTTTATTTAGTTTTAGTTATTTTAGTACGTACTTCTTTAAACTAAAACTAAAGTCTTGGCAGCTTTTTTATTTTAGTTAATATTTCTTTTAACTTTTTTTTAGTTAATAATTATAACCCTGTCTATTCCTGTAGAATAACCATTTTAAGGTGGCAATAATTGTATTTACTAGCTACTATGCAAAACTATATGTAACATAGAGTAGTAGGATTTGTCCCACTAATGCTTCGAAAAGTCATGGGATACCAAAAAATGTGGAAAGTGCCAGCTATATTCTTCTCCTGATCCCTTATTTGTTTCTGCGGGTCTAATTTCAGTGGGCTAAACACACATTCCTGTAACATAAAGGGACGGTTTGTATTCAAAATACATGTCTTTGTTCAATGCGTCCTCATTCGCTGTGAATCTCACCTAGAAAGTCACTCTCTCCTCTACTGGTCAATAAAGGTAACATTTAACTGAGGTATCAGGGTAAAAGCCCAGGAGCCGATGTGCAAACCGGATCATCTACAGGGAAGAGACCTGATTCCCATTTGGGCCGGCCGAGAGAGGGAGAGACTGAGATTGCCATTGTGCTCCAAACAACAGCCCTTCTCAACAGCCTCAAACACATGAACCTTTCTCTGCTTGAACACCGAATGGAATGTTTTAACTATGGTTTTAGGAAAAACAGCAGCCAAATTATAGAAAATTAAGTCTACCATGCATGCTTTTTAATCAATATGAATAATCAGAAGAATCATCAAATGCCATTTGTTAAGTGTCTCTAAACGATGTTGTTTATATCCACCTGTATTTATACTGAGTCACGCATGCATGTATAATAAAATCGACTATTAAGTGAAACATCACCGCAATGCATTTGATCCCACAATAGCATAGATTTAGTTTATAGCCATAATTATAGATGTCCAAAAAATCTGTGTAAAAAAGGTATGGAAGCTCAATTCTGCCATGTAGAAAAACATCATAATAATGACATGCAAATCATAATGACAAAAAGTCGAAACTAAGAGAAAAAAGGGTCATAATTATGACAAAAGTCATAATGACTTTTAATGTCAATAATGACTTTTTAATTTCATAATTTCATCTTTTATGTAAGAATTTTGACGATTTGTCAATTATTATTTAGAGTATGATTTTTTTCTTATGTGGTGGAAATGACTTCAATAAAAGGTGAAATGTTTTATGTGAGAGGGTGTTTGTGTGAACATCTTTTAGAAATCTCATAATTATGACAAAAAAGCATGATTTTTTTTCTTATGTGGCAGAAATGGGCTGATGTAAAAGGTCAGATGTTCTATATGAAAGTTGTTTATTTGAATTTATCCTTTTAGCTATTTCAATATGCTAGTTTTTTGTCTACATTAAAAAAGGTATTTTGTCAGGTAATCTAAATAATTATTTTAATTTAGTAAAAATCTATAAATTCTTAAATGAACTATTTAAGTGAAAAATATGACTTATTGTAATATTTGTATATCTTCTACTTTTATAGGATGTATTTTGTGTGTTGTTTTGGGGTTTTTAATTTAAAAATAATGTTGGCTTAATAGGCAAAGCTTTGAGTTTAAGACCTAACTCAGTGCAGATTTATTATTTACAGACAACCAAAACAGATGAAAACTTACCCTCTTGCTCCCTGGACAGAAACAAACAAGATGGGAACGTTATTTTAACTTTTGCAATCCCTATAAACATGTCAATGATTGAACGTGTGTCTGTGAATAAACTTCATGCATTTATTCTCTTGTTACGTCCTACGCAATGCATATAAATGCTCTTAAATGAAGCACAAAGACACTTACTCGTACTCGATGTCCTCTCTGTATGACATGCTTAGATTAAGACCTGTTTCATATACAGATTACACAAGATTTTGTCAGCTTTTACAGTGAATATACTAGACTGACAACATTAAACGATCAATCCCTATCATGCTTTTGGTGGAGATGTGCAGATGTTGGTCTTACCTGTCTTTAGGTTGGTCAGGATGAGGTTACTCACCAGTTTGTTACAGAAGGTAGTTTGCTCTTGAAACTGATCCCCAATGATGTATAAATTGTCCCAAGATCACATGACTATATATGTGATGTTTTATGTTGATAGAGGGTGGGCTGGACATGCCACCGCACATACATGCACCTATGAACACATATAGTACATGCACAATGAGAACAATAGACACATTCTCTGTGTCTGTGCATCGTGTCTATTAATAGATCGGCTGACAACTGTGTGCTCATATGATGATCTTAGAGCTCTGACTGTTTTGGAGTGATAATTTTATACTAAATAATACAGTGACTTAGGTGGTATAATATTTAGATACTGGTAAATTAAAGGAATAGTTCACTCAAATGTAAAAATTTTCTGAAAATTTACTCACCCTCAGGTCATTCAAGATGTAGATGAGATCGTTTGTTCATGGGAACAGACTTGGAGAAATGTAGCATTGCATCACTTGTTCACCAAAGGATCTTCTGCAGTGAATAGGTGCCGTCAGAATGGGAGTCCAAACAGCTGAAAAAAACATCACAATAATCCACAAGTAATCCACTCCAGTCCATCAATTGTCTTGTGAAGTGAAAAGATGTGTGTTTGTAAGAAACAAATCCATCATTAGGATGTTTTAACTCTTAGATTTTGCTTCTGGCTAAAATATGTGGTCATAATCCTTAATATTGTTTTCTCCATTGAAAAAGTCATCCTGAATCAGGAGAGAAATATAGATCAGATCAAGCACCGTAAAACAGTTCTAAACAAAGATTTTGGTGTATTTTAATGTGAGGACAACAGAAGATGGACCTTTTCATTGGAGGAAGCGTTATTATGGATTATGGACTGTTTTTTTTGGCCAGAAGTAAGTTAAAACGTCTTAATGATAGATTTGTTTCTTACAAACACACAGCTTTTGGCTTCTCAAGATGTTCATTGATGACTAGGGTGGTGTGGATTACTTGTGGATTATTGTGATGTTTTTATCAGCTGTTTGGACTCTCATTCTGATGGCACCCATTCACTGCAGAGGATCCGTTGGTCAGAAAGTGATGTAATGCTACATTTCTTCAAATCTGATGAAGAAACAAACTCATCTACATCTTGGATGGCCTGAGGGTGAGTACATTTGCAGCAAATTTTTATTTTTGACCAAACTATTGCTTTAATTAGACATCCTTGCAATTGGCAATACAGTATATATGTACATTTACACAACTGTAAATGTATTGATACAGTATATTCTATTTCTGAAATTCATGCACCAAGGTCTTTCACACCTGTGAAGAGTTGCATCTGTCTAGGTCATCGTAAAAATGTCTAGTAAATCTAGTTATTGTAAACAATTGAGCAGAAATCTGTCTAGGCAGAGCTCGTAAACGTTCAGTCACTTTGACTTGACCTGCTGCTCATTTCCTGTGCCTGTTTGAAGGGTCACAGGATGTCAAACCCCGCAGGTGAGAATATTAACACAATGACCGTTTCCATTACTTCATTCAGTGAGTAACTAATGTGACAGTGTGACCTGCTGGAGAATCTCTACTCTTTATTACCTCACCGGGTCTCTTATTAGTTTTAGAAAGTTAGAAGCTGTTCAGTCTCAGTAAACAATAGCTTGAATTAGGGCTGTCAAATTTTTTTTTAGAATTTCGAATATTCATCGAATTTAAAATAAAAATCCACATTCGAATGCAAAAACGTTGCATTCAAATTTTAGGTGTGTGTCAGACAGCCTTATCAGTGGCGCACGAAATGCGACGACGATGTAAGTGTCATTGCATTTTAATGTTTTGGTTAGTCTATCCAGTTGAACCCAGTAGATGTGGCGCTGCTACGTTGTTCATTCAAAATATTGCGTGAAAAAAGAACATCAATGCGGAGATGATGTTGTTTTCGTCAAAACCGAAACCAAGCCGTTCACACAGAACGCATATTTATCACATTTTCTTGAGGGACATCTATCACCGTTGCACTCGCGTCTCGCAGAGAGCGGCATGTTTAGAACGCCATGGAAATTAATGTAAGTTCAACTTTTTAAAAAACATGTCATTTTTTTTTAATGGCGGTTTTTCCCCATCCTACTGCATCTCAAGTTTTTAAATGAAGAAAGTACTCTTTGTGATTGGTTTTCGGTCCTTTGTATTAAACTATACATACATGCATGATTCTGTTTAGTTTCTAATTGTTTAAGCAACTTTAATTATATAAGGTTTATAAACATTATTTTAAACATTATGCACTTTTTTCAAAGATAGTCCTGTTATTTTATTATGCTTTGAAGAAACGTGAATAATATTTTGCTCGGTGGCCCTCTTGTGGCCTCAGGAGAGAAGCCAAAAGCTTTTCCCCCTAACTGAAATTATGCCTTTTAAATTCGAATATAATTCGAATATTGATCATATTTAAGTACAAAATTTGAATTTAGTTTTTCAGCCATTTTGACAGCCCTAGCTTGAATGTACTGTATGTAGCCAGACTTCTAAACATGTATTGTTATTAGGGGCCAAGCCCCGAAGGGGCTGTAGCCCCTATTGTATCTGTACTGATGATTCTTCTTCTCGTCCAATGGGAGTCTATGGCAGCCCTATGAACGGAACATAGGAAAATTATGAAAATTGGCACACTTGTAGTGATGACCATGAATAGTGATCTGGCCAACTTTGCGGTTTCTAGGACCAATTCTATAGCGCCACCACCAGTTCAAACATTCAACATTGAAATGGTAATAACTCTTGAACCCCTAATTCTAGAAAAATTAAGCGTAGCACACCTGATTACTCTCCTCATGTTGATCAAATTGAATTTCTTACATGAAGTCTGCACCCATTACAGTAGCGGCCATTTTGAAAAGTACTGTTTTTCATTTTTTCGATACTCCCCCTTCACAGAATGACTGAACAGAATTTTTGACCTACTTGTCAAAAAAAAAGTTATGATGCTGTGAACTTAACCGAGGTTGACCCGAAATTGGTTCAGAGGCTGTATCTCGGCCAAACTTTGATCAATCAAAATGAAACTTGATACACTTCATCAACAGGATGGTATGAGGCTACATGCCAAAGTTGGGAACAGCGCCACCTATGGATCATGAGATATGAAAAATTGCTATTTTGGCTTATAACTTTTGAACAGTTAATCTGAAAATTATGATCTTGGTGTCTATGGATTCCTCAGGTCAATTTTGCCAGGATTGGCAAACCATGTGAATCATGTGTCTGCCATTTTGAAATTTGGCATAAATTGCAATATCTTTTGAACCATTTGGCATATCTGCACAAAAATTGGTAGGGATCATCAACGCCAGGTCCTGGAGGTACCTCAGAAGTTTGAAGACAGCGCCACCTAGTGTTCCAGAGATATAACAATTCTTGCAAAAACACATAACTTTTGAAAACATTATCCAAATTTTGTTATTTTTATGTCCTTTAGTTCCTTGGGTTATGTCGATTCTGGCGGCATCTCACTTGTCATTTTCCATCAGTGTGTCTGTCCGCAATATTGAAGTAAATGAAAAACAGTTTTTTCGCTACTCCTTCTAGAAATTTTGCACAATTTTGTCCAAAATCTGATCATATGATCTTTGGACCGAGCCGCACAGAAATGACTGAACAGATTTTTGATATTCGCTTCCATTCCTGAGAAATATCTCTCGGAAGTTGACCGTCCCTGAGTTTGTTTGAATTGATTCTCAGTTGAACTTCTGAACGTCAGCATCTGTGTGAACATCCATCTCCCCAGTGGCGCAACAAGATCGGTGACAGGCGCGTGACCTGGTGATTGTGGGTGCGAGTCCCGTGTAGTGCAACTTTATAAAATTTTGTGTAATCTTGTGCTGTTTTGATTCCTTTATTATCAAGATCAGCATTGTACAAACCTTTATTTATCCTGGATTAGAAATAAATGATTTTATCCGTGCTGTGTTCATTTTCATTTAAACTTCTGT